AGTGGGTAAAATGGTTTTGTCTATATGATAAAAGTAAAATAAGGAATATATATATATATATATATATATATATATATATATATATATATATATATATATATGCATTTAAGAGTAACGGTAGTTATAAAAGCAGTGTCATAGAAAAAAACGTCCTTTTGACACTACGTCTTATTGTATGCATGCTTACCAAAATTTTGTGGAATATATATATATATATATATATATATATATATATATATATATATATATATATATATATATATATATATATATAAGAGAGAGAGAGAGAGAGAGGGAGCGAAAATAATAAAATTAAATCTACACTTATCTACACAGTTTCGCGATGGTGACATTCGCTATTCAGGAGATTGTAAAACTATTTCTTCTTTTGCCGAAACACAATCTTTGTCATACACACACACATACATACATACATACATACATACATACATACACACACACATGCGCGCACATATATGTGTGTGTGTGTACATATATATATGTGTGCGTGTCTGTATGTTTTAATGCAGGATCCTTACAATTAGTTTACTTTCTTTTGATGCTTTTTATCGCAAGGCTTTTTTTTTTAAACTGATCGATTTTTCAGTCGGTAAATGAAAGTATGAGAATTCTGTATCAAGAAATAGCTTAGGACGATGTTCAAAATCACACCCATACCACTGAAGATTATATTTCCATAGACACTAGCTCAAAACGTATATCTACCAAAGCTATTCTGATCAGACAGGTTTCTTGCCTGTCGTCACTTTGTCCCAGTTTTAATCTTTGCCGTCTTGTTTACTCAGCAGGATCGACTCAAAAACGTGGTATAAAGCAACAAACAAATGAAGAAGCTGTCAAAGCTAATAATGAAAGATACCTAATAATGCTAGTTCTTATATACGTGATTTTATTGTGAATCTTGACTGTGAATACCATTGTAACACTTCGTCTGTGTATTTCGCTGCGTGTGTGGAGAGTGCGCATGCGCGTAAGTTTTAGCAGTTTTCTGTGCGCCGGCTTGTTTTTTTTTTTTTTTTTTTGTTTTTTGTTTTTGTTTTTAGAAAATGCCGTATTTAACAACGGAGAGTCTTTTAAATGGAAATATTTAATATGCAATCTCTTTTTCTTGTCTATGTGTGTGTGCATGCTTGCATGCGTGCATTTGTGTGTATGTGTTTGAGAAAGAGAAAGTGAGTGTGTGTTTGTGTGTGTGTGTGTGCCTGTGTGCACGCACACGCGCGTGAATGTATGCAATGGTTTCTACCTTGCGTATTAAATGATTACTTCTCTATGTAACTGATATTTGTGCGTGTGTGTGTGAGAGAGAGAGGGGGAGGAAGAGAGAGGAAGAGAGGGGTGGGAGAGACCGATGAAAAGAGAGAGAGAGAGAGATACCAGGATAAAAATGGGATTTATATGTTTATGTGTGGTGCTTTTTTGTTTATAGATGCGAATGTCCATTCAAAAGAGACTTCAGTCTTCAAAATGACCGGTACTAAAATAAAAAAAAAAAATTACATCCATTAATAAAAATGAACAAATAAATAAGTTAATTTAGATAGAATACAACTGACTGAATGAACAAAAACTGTTCCGTCATTCTGTCAAGACCACTGCCACCTAGTGGGTAGCAGTAGACAAAAAAAGTTCAGAGTTCGTTTTTTTTTTTTTTTTATCTCCCTTTTTTAAGCTTCCGACGTCCGTCTTTTTCCATTTTTTATTACAGTTTTTTTTGTTTTTTTGTTGTTTTTTTTTAATCAATTTAAACTTTACTTTCTTTGGCCTTTTCTTTATTCTTCTTGTCAATTTTATCGTTCAGAGATTTATTTTATATCTGTTTGTAAGAGAAAGAGGAGTTTTTTTTTCGTATATTTCTCGTTGGGATCATAATAAATCAAAGAACGTACAGTTTTTTTTGTTTTGTTTTTTTTTTTTTTTGTAGCTTAATGTTTAAAAAATGTAATTCTTCTTGATGGAAAAGTAAATTGACAGCGGAAATTGATTCAAAGTCTGAGAAAATTTGATTTTTGTGTGAACGACTGTTTCACTGTTAATTTTACCCTTTATATCGGATTAAAAAATGTCGTCTGCTCCATGTTTATCTTCAAAGGTGCGAAATAGTTTAATTTTTTATTTATTTAATTTCTTTTTTTTTTTACCATCGACGTAAATGCTTGCACATTTTCTGTTACTTTATTTTTTTAATCTTTTCTTAGTTTCCTTCAATTTTTTTTCATTCTTTGAACGCCTTTTTCTTTCTTTTAATACGAAGAACATATTCAAAGTTTTTAAATTACATTTTTTTTAAATTCAGTAAACTAAATTTTATAGCTGCAAAATTATTTTCATTTTTGTCTTTTTAATTAGCTCAATTAATACTTTTCAGCCACGTGAGCTACATTACCTGTTTTTTTTGTTTTGTTTTTTTTTCGTTTCCTTTTTTTTTTACCAGAACTTAGATTGTGTATACACCTTACGTGAAAAATCTTGAAACCTATTTGAGTTCTTTCAGATTGATATTTATTTGCACATTCAATTTTCTTCGTATCCATAAACTTAACTGCAAAGACGTTAACATATTCTAAAGGAAGAAGAGAAAAATTCCTTTAAATTTTTTTCTTCTTTCGTTATTGTTCCCATATTATAATTCTGATTTCTTTGCTTCCATTTTTGTTACCAAAATCCGTTCGCGGGTATCTTCCTGTCATCACTGTCAGCCAGTTTGTCATCGAAAACCAGACATACTAACAGTATGCTCAAGAGCCTTACGCCTGAGGGACGCAATGCTGGTACCCCTCCAAGCATCCCCTAACTCCTGCATGGCACATGGAATCTGTGAAGTACTAATAGAGGGTGACTGTGATCCGTCAGACATAGGGGACGTCCCGGACGACGGTACACAATAGGCTGAGTTGTAGATGGAAGGACTGTTAACCGTGTTAGTCACATTACATGTAATGCCGTTGCCTAACACGTTACTCTGGTTAAGACCGGCCACAGACACTTGTGGGGAAAGTGACTGGGCAAGCCCTTGGCGTGGGATAGCTGTAGCTAGACCAAATTGGTTGCCGTTCATTGGGGTAGGTATCTGGGACATACTCGCCCATCGGGTATCCGACGGGTGGAAAGAACAAAGTGTGTCGTTCATTCCGCTGAAAGGGTTGAGGGAATGGGAAGGAAGTAGGGCGCCTGGAGTGCGGAAGACGTTTGTGGTCTTCTTTCGCTTTTTCCATTTAGCTCGTCTGTTCTGGAACCAGACCTGTTCAAAAGAATAAAAAACATATTATTAATTAGAAATATTTTTTTTTTTTATTAAAATCAATATTTACGAAACGCAGCTTAATCTGGAACAAGGTCAATTTCAAAAGAGATTATGCACTTGAAGCTTCACCAAAATCTAATCAAATGAAAAGACACCAGATTTTTCTTAAATTCCTTCTTAGTGATATTTATTACTGAAAACATACAGTAAGTGCAGAGCGTTCTCAAAAAATGGCGATTAGAATGCCTGGTCTTCAACTATCTTATCATTAACCTGGCTAGCCACAATCTCTGACTCATCCGCAACGGTATTATTCTTGATAACATCACATTTACATAGGTACCAACAAAGATTAGCTAAAAAAAAGACAATATCTGATGAAAAAAAGCACAAAATATAATAAAAATAAGTTTTACTATCAAGAACTTTATGCTGTTAATAAGAGGAAAGAACAAAAGATTCTTTTTCGAAACTTGAAAATTTTGGCTAAAAAATTTGTTTTTCTGGTGTCAGAAATTAATACGGGAAATTTGAGCGCCTTTTTTAGATAAAAAAACACATTGATTTGGAAATTCATGCAAAAATCAGATGATTGTCGGATTTTAATTAAACTTTCAGGACTTATTCAGAAACGAATTAAATTAATTTTTGCATGTTCCTTTCTTTCGAAAAACTTCGTAGAAATATTTTTATATTGGTTACTTCCACACATTTAATTTTATGAAATTTTGAGAAATTCTTTGTATCGCTTAATATTTAGAATTTAAATCATCAAATTACTCTAGTCAAATAATACCTCCAGTTACAGAAAATCTGTTCTGAATTGTAAAATGAAAATACAATAAATGCATTATTTAATTAGAAAAGATTTTAATTGTTTTTACGAATAAAATATATCATGAACACTATTGTTTTACGAAAAAAAATTCAACGAAAAATGAATTCTTATAAGAATTGTTTACATTTTTTTTTTATTTTAATTAGAATAACTTATAAACTTTTAAAATTCTGTATTAATTTATAGCGGTTAGATGATATTACCAAAAGACCTGAAATTCAATAAAATATCAGAATGCTTAAAATATTTTAATTTTTTAAGATTACTGGGTATTTAAATATTATACAAAAAGGCGTATTAGTCATGTAATTTTATTTCTATTAAGTACTCCTTATTTAATTTTCCCAAGCATCAGTCTGTAAATACATCACTCACCACGTCAAAAAACAACCCCTCCGTCTTAAAAAAATGCTTTTCTGCGATATTTTAAACTAAAAGTAATATCTGTTTCAATTCAAAAAAATTAAACTTTAAATTAGCTAATCCTTCTCAAATGACGTTTCAGAAAACTATAATTTGTTAATAAAGAGAAATGTTTTGTGTTGGGAAATTTTTCAATATGGACTATTTTATCAATTTTACTAATTATCAAAGAATAATTCCAATCAGTTTAAATTTTGGGAAATATAGCAAAGTATTTTGCTTATTGGAAATATTAATATTTCTAAACTATTACTTTTTTAATTGATTATTATTTAATCTATTAGCTTGTAATTAAAACTAAAATAATAGCTTCAAGAAATATTTTTCATTTTTTTTTTAAATGCAGTTTAAAACTTATGTATCGCTTTTTTGCGTTGCCAATTTTAGAGAAAAATGTATAATTTGACTTTCATTTTGGAGTGGTTATATTAATATTCTGAAAATAGTTTTTTCGAACATAAAATTTAAATTAAGATGCGTTTCTCAAAATCTATCTATCTATCTATCTATCTATTCTATTCGGTCTGTTCATATCTATCTATCTATCTATCTATTCGGTCTGTTCATATATATATATATATATATATATATATATATATATATATATATATATATATATATATATATATATATATATATATATATATAAATTCGGTCTGTTTATATTCCATTCATCTATCTATTCATCTGTCACAGTTCTTCATTCATACAAGTTTGATTATGGATGAGAGACTAAGAATTTATTTTTCTTTTTTTTGTCTTATGTCTCAATACAAGAGATCGTGTGTTCGAATCCAGTTAATATGAATATTGAACAAAATGTTTTTAGCGAAAGCAACACTGAAAAGTGAAGAGGACTCAGTTTTGGTCTGTAATTTACTGTTTTAATTGTCTTGCATTAAAATAGAAATTTTGTATTCTATGTCTCCTAAAGTTTACAAAGATCTTAAAAATTAAAACTTTAATGAAGAAGCCAATATTCACAAATGAGTATCTACTCTTTTTCTTTCTTTCTTTCTTTCTTTCTTTCTTTATGAACTAAATGGAAATGGAAACAGAAAAAAAATGTTACGCCATTGTTATAAATGCAAGGGTTATTGATTAACTGATTAATTGGTTGATTGCATTAATTTGGGGGGGGATAACAATTAATTTCCCAAATATAAGTCCTACTATTTAACCCATAGCTGGGATAAAAGAGATGAATTTATACATTTCTCAAGGGTATTTGCTCAAAAGTGAATGTAATGAGCTCGACTGGAATTCGAACCTGGCTCTCCGATTTCTCATTCCGAGCTGCTTTCATCCGCACATCCCCAAATGTGATTAAGAGCCTGCCTCTATTAAAAAACAGTTTTCAAAAACCTGACTGAACTCGCACCCTGGCTATTAGCGTCTGTGATTTAAGACAGTCATAGTTATCTCCCCTTCGAACTACTCAACTATAAAAGAAATGGCCGAACTTCACTTAAAGACAGAGGTCAAATTTCATTGAATAAAACTTCACTAAAATTTTAACCGTCCCTCCTTTTTTCTATACAACGTCGGTATTAGTTATTTACTAATCTTATCCTATTCTGGCCCAAGGACATTACTGAGGAGTCCTCAGTAATGGTTTGTAATTTTCTGTTTTAAATTGTCATGTATTAAAATAGAAATTTTGTATTCTATGTCTACAAAAGCTAAATGGTATTTTTATTGGTTCAACTTCTTTTATGTACCGTGTCCCTCTAAGATGTAGGCGATCATGGCTCTCCACATCTTCCCATCTCTTGTAGCTCTTGATAAATTTTGTCTTTTTGTTATTTCTCCCAAACCCTGTTCTACCATCCACTTACTCGAGCTCATCTAGTATGCTACGCGTTGCTTTACTCTATCCCTTTTTCCCTCAATCTGTCCTGTGTGTATCGGGTTTTCCAAGCCCTCCTTCCTCATGACATGCCCCAGAAATTTCAACTGCCTCTTTCTGATGTTAAGCATAAGTTTCCTTTTTGTTTCCATTTTCTCCAAAAACCTCGTCGTTGCTCACATGCTCGGTCTATGGTATCCTATCCCCAGCATCCTTCTGTAGAACCATATTTCTGTTGCTTCAAGTCTCTTCTTCATCTTTGAGGAGATTGCCCAGCATTCATTGCCATATAAGAGGACAGATATCACATAACAGTTCAATACTCTTTTCTTTGTTATAAAATGCCATTTGAGAATTCCGTCTTTTAATGACTAAGATTACTATTCTTAATCGCACAGAAAAAAACTTTCTTTTAAAAAATTCTTTAATTGAATGAGAGTAAAACAAAACTTGATGGTGACGACAAAATATCTTCATTATTTCATATTGATAAAGTCGTCAGAGTCGTAAAAAGACAGAGTATTAATGCGATGTACCGTCGGAGTGAAGGGTGAAGGGTGACGGAAAGGAAGAAAACAAAGAAATGATGGCGACGATAGCATTGTTTTTCTCTCTCTCATAGCGTGTTGTCACGCAAATTTGATATTAAAAAGGCGAAGCGAAGAATAATAAACATTTTTTTTAGAGAGAGAGAGAGAAAAAAAAGTGGGAGAGTGGGGACATTTTTCCCAAAGTAGGAAAGCACACCATCTGGCGGTGTTATACATCTTTATTCCCTTTAGAAAAGGTATTGCTCTTTTTTTCTTTTCTTTTCTTTTTTTCTATCTCTTTCTCGCGCTGTCTTTATTATTGTTATTGTTATTGTTTGGTGACTGTTGACCTGAAAATCGAGAGGGGGTGGTCATCGATACCGTAAAGTATAATCATCCAGTGACGACCAACGTCTCGTATTTCGCAGGGATTTTTTTCTCTTCCCTTCTCTGTTTCTTTCTCTCTGTTGCATTCTTTTTTTTTTCTTTTTACATCTTTCATTCTTTCTTTCTTTCTTTATAACTCGATTTGTCTTTCTTTTTCTTTCTTTGCATTTTTCTTTCTTTATATCTCTTTTTCTTTCTTTCTTTCTGTCTTTCTTTCTTTCTTTCTTTCTTTCTTTATATCTCGTTTTCTTTCTTTCTTTTTCTTTGTATTTTTCTTTCTTTATATCTCTTTTTCTTTCTATCTTTCTTTCTTTCTTTATATCTCCTTTTTTTTCTTTCTTTTTTCTTTGCATTTTTCTTTCTTTATATTTCCTTTTCTTTCTTTTTTCTTTGCATTTTTCTTTCTTTATATCTTTTTTCTTTCTTTCTTTCTTTATATCTCCTTTTCTTTCTTTTTTCTTTGTATTTTTCCTTCTTTATATCTCTTTTTCTTTCTATCTTTCTTTCTATCTTCTTTTTTCTTTCATTTACATCTTTCGTTTTTTACATCTTTCTTTCTTTTTTCTTTCTTTCTCTACATCTTTCTTTCTGTATCTTTCTTTCATATATATTTTCTTTCTTTCTTCCTTTACATCTTTCTTTGTTTTTGCTTTCTATATCACCTCTTTTTCACATCTTTCTTTCCATCTTACTACACCCCTTTTTATATCTTTTTTTTACATCCTTTCTCTTTCTATATCTCTTTCTTTTATGTAAGTCTTTCTTTCTTTCTTTCTTTCTTTCTTTCTTTCTTTCTTTCTTTCTATGTCTATTTCTTTTTACATCTTTCTTTCTTTCTAGATTTCTTTCTTTCTATCTTTCTAGATTACTGTTTCTTTATTTCTATCTTTCTTTCTTTCTTGACGGAAGCAGACTTTTATTTTGATGTTGAAGACATTATTGTGGCGGTTTCTTTTTTTTGAGATGATATTGTTTAGCTTTTTGGCTAGAGCTGACATGTCTGTCATTGCCTTTTTCTCTAGGGTGTGAATTTGGGATAGGAAATGCACGCACATCCCGGCTGCTTATCCAGAAGTCAGCAATAAAATCAAACTACACGTGCGCGCGTCTGTCTCTACGTATATCATTAACTAACTGTTTATGTAACGGGCGATATCACGAGTAGAAATCTATCAAACAAATACACCAAAGATTTAATTCATTCTTAATGATTATTACGTATATCACGGCACGACAATGTCTAACATAGGAGGAAAATGACACGATGATTATGAAACGTTTTTTCTTTTCTTTTTTTAATCGGTATCATCCCATGCAAGGCATTAAAGCCACTAAGACACAAAGGGTTACAGAGTGTGGAAGATTTAGAAACAGAAACATTAATAATGAACGGGAACAGAAATGAGTAATCAGGAGGACAGTAGATAGAGACTGACATTACATTTAAACTTTTGCCGGTTGTCTGTAAAGCATGGGACTGGAAGGGAGTTCCACAAGCGAGAAGTGCGAGAAAAGAAACTGTTAGCATAGAACTTGCGACTACATCTAGACAGCTCAACTGTGAATTGATGAGATATCGACGCCAGGGACTATTTCACCGCTGACGGCAACTGGAATCGGCCAAAGTAAGCGAGGTTTTGGCTTTTGTTATCGTTACCCACTGAATTTATCCTTACTCTATATCAGTGGTGGTCAAACTACGACCTGCGGTACGCATGCGCCACGCCAAAAGAATTTTCGCAGGCCGCCAAATGTTAGTAAATTTAAAAGAGAAAGTTACCAAACAACGCCAAATAATATTGTGAGCATTTTCTTTTCTTCCCGCAGGTGTGCGTATGCAGGGGAGAGTGCTGATCAAAAGGATTAATATACTATGCGGTCCAATAAAATTGTGAATATTTTAATGTGGCCCTTGCATTGAGAAGTTTTCCCACTCCTGGTCTTTCCCTTCGTATCTTTACTTAATTCTGCACCTACAAATTAGCATTTTCTAGCAGCAGAAAAAATCCCCTGATTAAACACTGAAATTAGAAATGTTTTCCCCACTAACACGTACCTGCCCTTTGTTGTTTAATAAAAAAAAAGAAGGGATTGTCAATGGTCAGAAATTGAGACAACGGTCGCCGACAGAATGTATTACAGGTATAATATTAGTGTGTTAATTATTATATAAATAATTATGTTTTCTAACGAAGTATTCGTGTTTTAATGTATCTGACGTAAATATCAAATATTTCGTGCATTTTCTCTACCAAAATCACCTTAAATCTGTTGTTAACTGGAGCAAGAAGTAGCATGCTAATTTTAACGAAACTGTTCTCTGTTAATCATCTGAGCCACCTCTTTCTGTCTTCCATCTGTATGGCTGATGCTAACCGCCAAAAGAGTGACTCGTTGCGCCTCCTCGGGCTAATATTCTCGCTGACATAAAGTGGAAAGATTATATTGTATCAACTGCTAGATCAGCTGCCGGGAAAGTCTGTTCACTATGTCATGCTGGACATTTTTTTTCTCGCCAAAGTCTGTCTTGCACATTTATGAGTCTATCATTCGTCCACGAATTGAATATTGCTGCCAAATCTGATCTGGTACGTTTGCTATATATCTATAAATTCTTGACAAAAATCCAAAAAAGAATCAGCAACGTTATCGGTCCTCACCTGTCAACTCTTCCTCAGTCACTTTCCCACTGTCGTAACGTAGCCTTCACGCGCCTTTTCTATAGAATTATTATCACGGTAATTGATCTGACGAGCTTTCCTCTATGGAACTTTGCCTTTACCAATTTAACCGCTGTACTAGATTTGCAGATAGGTTTTATAATTTCGCCGTTGAAATTGATAGTTGTAACCGTAAGTTTTATGCTAATAGTTTCTTCTCCCGCGTTTCTCTCTTGTGGAAGCTTTCAGTTTTGTTTTTTTTTTTTTTTGTTTTTGTTTTTGTTTTTTCAACTACGATCTTCATAAATTTAGATGCAGCGTCAATCGCCATCTTCTGTCTCTTTCAAACCCGTTCTTTTATTGTCCTTTCTGCTTCTTTCATTCTCGATAACCATTTGGAAATTAGTGGCTTTTATCGCATTGCTTGAGGTTAAATGATTAAAAACAAACAAACACAATAATGATATACAATCATGAAGTATATCAAATAAAACATGAACGGAATTGGACAGAAGTAGCGATCGCCAGGCATGTAAGCACCACTAAACAATTTATCTATATTTCTGAGATGAGGTATTATGTACACTATTCTATATTTATTACAACGTTTCGGCCGTTGTACGCTCCGGACTTCTTCAGGTGGTTGGAATGTCGAAATGAACGCTTTATTTCGCTCACTGGGGTAGACTGTTCTAGTTCCACGTGCAATGTTTAATGCCAGTTATCAGATATCTACTGTTAATTCCCCTCTCCAAGCTTTCCACTGCCTTAACCGGGTATTGAAATCACACTCTTTGGGTCCTGTCACTGGATCTAACTAAATATGGCGACAAAGATGAGGATAATAGTCCGAATAATGTAAATAGTGTACCACTAAATAATATCACATACGAGTGCATTGCCCGTCATATTACAGTGTTTTTATATAGTGGGTCATAATTTTACTACTGCGGGTAATATCAGATTTTGTCATTTTTGTACATCCATACTCTTCAATAAGATGATCGGGAAACAGGTTTATATGAGATATGGGCGTATTAAATATGGTACTTAATGACCTTTGAATTGAGGTGAAAGTAACAGATAAATGCTGTAAGCAAGTGTATTTTTCACTATATGTTATGTATTGTTTTCTTCAAAACCCAATAAATTAATTAGTAGATTGAATGAATTTAATATTTCTATAAAGGCTGCTTACAGAAACAGTAAAATATGACGTAAGAGAAGTTCACTTTGGATGATAAAAAGTCGATCTAAAAGGTTTTAGTGCGTGCACATGCTTAAGTTGGCACCTCTGCTATTTTAATGTCACCCGGCGTAGATCGAGAAGAGCTATTCTGTCAGGAAAATAATTTCTTTATTAGGACTTCTCGATCTAGGCCGGTTGAGATTAATTTCACTGTTTAAAAATAAAAGAAGGATGTCAACTCAAAAGTCAAACACGCGTCCCCTCTAAAAATAACGTTTATAGTAATAAGAAATAAAACACACACACACACACACATATATATATATATATATTTCTTTCTTATTACTATAAACGTTATTTTTAGAGTGGACGCGTGTTTGAGTTTGACATCCTTCTTTACATATATATATCAGCGATCACCGAGCATTTAATAAATTGCAGGGATTGTGCTAAGAATTTTAGTCCGAATTGGTTTACCGTACTGTCCAGTTCGCACTCTTCATTTCATTTGAGGGCACTTGAGTCTTTGTATATTCGGTCCAGGGAGCCGTCTCTTTGCAAGCAAAGAGACTGTCTCCTTGGGCTTCACGTTATTACACTCTAGTGTCTATCATAATTCCCCCCCCTCACACTCCCTGTTATATATATATATATTTTTTCCCTTTTTCACTGTGCATATTCGCACGGTCTAAAATATATATATATATATATATATATATATATATATATATATATATATATATATATATATATATATATATATATATATATATATATATATATATATATATATATATATATATATATGTGTGTGTGTGTGTGTGTGTGTGTTAGCAAGCTTGTCTCGCTGGAACATGTTACGACTGAGTAGTGAGTTCGATCCTCACTAGGTGCTCCATACTTCCGGCCTTGTGCCACATCTAAGCAGCGCTTAGAAAATCGCTATATATATATATATATATACACACAAGAGAGAGAGAGAGAGAGAGAGAGAGAGAAACATTAACAGGACGGAGATTTTAATCAACACTGTATGGTGACTCTGAGTTTCACTATTCATGCTATATTCAGAAGATGTATATTAACGGCAATCAAGCGGAAATCGTTCATGTATTCAAGTTTGGTTGAAGATCAACGAAAGTTTTTCTTTGCTTTCCGGATATAAGTTGAATATAAATTATCCAATCGATAAATTGTATAAATTCAGTTTCGTATGTCACGAGTTTATTAAAATTTTAAAAATAACTTTTTAAACACTAAAATATTACCTAAAGCGTATGCGTTAACATCGTTGTCAAGAGAAAAACGACCTATATGGCATTATTTTTTACCGGCTTAGAATTTAGAAGGCAGCTTAGATGTAAACGAGAGTAAACAATGTTTAAAGGGAAGTAAACATGTCACATTTTAAATAGAGTATATTTTGAAAATGTAACAAATAATGGATTCGACTGGAGAGCCGAGTTCGAATTCCAGTGGAATCCATTACATTCACTTACGCACTAATACACTTGGGAAAGGTATGAATCCTTTTCTCCCCCAGTTATTGAAAAAGGCGATTATAGCATTTAGTCCCGGGCTCTAGATATAAATTTTCATAACATGGCTTATATAAAAGAAAGGGCGGCTAAAATGTTCAAAGCTATAGAACCACCTAATTATGTTATACGCAGTTCTCTCGACCAAAGTAATCTTTGTTTTTCTGGTCTACCGCAGAAAGAATTGGCAACCTACTGCGGGAAAAATCTGCCTCGTCAGTCATGTATCGAAAGATACATGATCGCCTAAGCGTGTATCACGTATGGCACATAATTGACTGAACAAATAGAACCCGGTACTTAAAGCCTTCTAAAACAATAGAAATGAGACAAAGTCACTCTAAAACTCAAAAAAGGTATTTATTTCTTAACTACTTCATGGGTTTACAAGCAACAAGAAGTTTTGGAACGTTATCAAATTACTGTGTTTCTCGTTAGTCACAATGTAATCTAAACTCGAAAAAAGGCCTTTTCATGACGGTGGTTTCGCTGCTAAGTATGGCTGAAATAACTTTTAAATGCCACATTTTTTTCTTAATAGCTTTAGCACGGACTTCGGCTCAAGTTCTAGGTTCTAGATTATTCACCCTGTCGGGAGTAATGACAAGTGGTTCATTCTGTTTCTCGGGGAATAGGGTACCATCTGGTAAGTCAGCTTGCGAGGTAATTAAAGGGAAGTGAACAAAAAATGATGGCAGTTATACACCCAAAAGTATCCCTTGGGACTTGGGATTAGAGCTTTGATTCGTACAGTACATATGAGTTCAATACTTGGACCGGGCAATGTCTATTTTAACTCAGTGGAAAACGGTGCAGGCAGCAAGTTCGAAATTCCTTGAAGGTTACTCGAACCGACATGCACGGAAGACACAACAGCCTAAATATTGTGATAACAACAACAAAGATGATGAAAATAGTTCACAAGTAAATAATAAGCAAAAATATTCCGCAAAGTTCTCTAATAAAGTAATATATTCAGTATAGAATTCATCTATTATTGGGATCAGTGCTGAAAAATTCATTTAAATCGGATAATTCCCTAATATTTGATACATTTTTTTAAAATCCAAGAATTATGTTTTTGGGGTTTATTTTGGAAAAATATGCAGGTGCTTTGTCTATACTTAATTAACAGAGTTAATTAGACTTGGAGTGCCTTCCATTTTATAAGGTACATGGGCAAAAATGCGTTTATGTTGGAAAAGTTCTAAAAACTCCTTTGTTGTAAAAGTTCTAAGAATATATTTATCCTGAAAAAGACATTTTTAAATAATTTATTCTGAAAAATAGCATTTGTAAAAAAAGAAAAAAACTCTCTAAAAAGCCATTCATGTTAAAAGAGAAAATGGTTTAAAATACTTATATTGAAAAAGTCTAAAAATAAAATTTGAATGCGTTTACAGCATTTTGACTGAGGTTCTGGGCTCTAGGTATAAATTTTCATAACATGCCTTATATAAAAGGTAGGGCGGCTAAAATGTTCAAAGCTATAAAATTACCTAATTATATGATATACTCAGTTCTCTCGACCAAAGTAATCTTTGTTCTGCCATGCTACCCATAGGAGAGCTAAAAAAAAACAAAATAAAAAAACACTTGATCCGCACAACGACGGGTATCATAATAATTACAATTATTATAATCATTTTCAGTCAAACATAAACTTCAGATTCTCTAGGGTAATAAACATGTAACTAATCTTTTAGTCAAATTGCTTTTCATATGATATATGTATTTTAATTTATGTATCTAACATCTATAAATTAAACATAATATTGGTGTGAATCTTTTTTTTTCAATTAAGCTTATTCGTCTTTTCTTCTTTTTTTTTTTTTTTTGAACATCTTTGCATACCAATCAATGCGTTAATCATTTTAAAAGTGATAGCTTCCATTGTTTTTAGTTACAGCCTGAAAACGAACTCAAACATCTGCGTATCTCTTAGCCACGCTGTTCATGACATTTTGACCCACTCCTCTTGAATAACAGCCTTTTTGTAAGGTCTCACAGGTTACCTACTATAAAACGCCCCACATAGCGTAGTGTATCCTATTCATGGTTAAAGGAGGACAAGAAATATGCCGAATAGAAATCAACAAACTTAGGATTGAAGTTCTTTAGCTTCTTGGGTGCACGACCGCGAGCCCTGTCCTGGGTCCACATAATGCTGCCTTCTATGTAGTTAGCCTTTAGACATGGCAAACATGAAACATCAGTACTTTGTAGTAGACATCAGCATCCGTTTTTTTGTCCAAGTTTGTAAAAGAATGGGGGCATTATTTTTTCATCGAAGGCAACAACATCTAAGATGGCTGCACATGAAGATGCTCTTAAGATCAACTGTTGACTCCGCGAAGTACCACTTGTTTTAACGTTTCAGAACAGTATCCATTTGAAGGTTTTCACTCGATAATATTTTAGCAAGGACAATCATGATTCTTGAACACTTTCTTGCACCTTTGCAACCTCCTGACTTTCGTGGATTCCATGAGAAGGTGCCTTGGAGACTTGACGTATGATATAAGGCCCAGACAATCATGCAGAGCCGTTATAATGATTTCTACTCAGCATATTTCTTGTCCTCCTTTAACCATGAATAGGATACACTACGTTATGTAGGGCGTTTTAGAGTAGGTAATCTGTGAGACCTTACGCAAGGCTGTTATTATTGGGGTGCGCTTTTAGCTTAACAACTATCTTATGCAAGCACGTTGTAATTTTGATCTTCCGAATGTTAATGAATTCTCGATTCCACTTCTTTCTGAAGCTTTCCCTGTCAGGATTCTCTGGATGCTGCTGTCCATCTCTATGATCTTCTTCATAGTGAAAACAGTACAAAGAACATACCAATTGTACGTTTTCAATTTATGCACAATTTTGGTAGCCATTACCGTTTGTTCACTGAAACCATTTCCCATATTATTCCTGAAAAACAAGCATGTATATTATAGGAGATAAGGAAATTGAACATAAAATCGGCTGCGCTAGGGGTAGTTTTGCCCAACACTGCAAGTTGCTACGAAACCAAAACATTAATGTAAGAACTCGAGCCATGGTTTAAAATAACATTGTCGTTTAGAAATATATAAACTGCCCGATTAAACCTGTAGATTTTAGCAAGGATAATCCTTCGAATCTCGTTGACTGGCGCTACAGAATCACAAACAAAGAAATGTACCAAATAACAGAAGACACATGACTTGAGGATTGTCAATAAATTGAACAACTGAAATCGATATGACGTTTAACTTGAAGAGAAAATGGCATCACCAAGATGTTGACGTTCCACACTACTCCAAATAAAAGGTTAGGAAAGAACCCCCACCATCAATATTGCAAAGAGCGATAACAATGGACTTGAAAAGCCTATTTTCCTTAGAAACAATTTTAATAGAAAGATTTTGTAAATTTCAACCGACATTAGCACTAGCTGTTCGGTCAATAAATGCTGAATATTTCTTTTTAAAGAAAGGCTTAATATTACCATTACAATTAATAGCTGATTTGTTTGTTGTTTGTTCTGCCTTTGGTTTTATATTATTTGGTGTAGTCATCGGTGAGAAATTTAATTTTTTTTTTTTTTAAATACTTTCACCCCCAAAATGGCAATAAAGCCACTAAGACCCAATGGGTTACTAAGTGTGAGTGAATATGAGAAAAAAAAACACTATTGAGGGAGAGCGAACAATAAAAGAATAGGAATTAAGGTGAAAGAAGATAACGATTGATATTGCATCAACATTTTTGAACATCAAATTTGACCTAGAAGCAAAAAGCCGGAGGAGAATTCCACAAGCAAGATGTGCGAGGGAAGAAATTATAAGCATAGAACTTACGGTTGCATCTAGCCATTTCAACTATAAAATTAAACCTTATCGTTAATCTAGTACGGCGCTTAAATTCATAAAATCTATATACCATATCGGAAAGTTTATCAGAACAATTATCATGAATGTATTTATTTAAAAAAAAATGCACAGGGAAGTTACATTGCGGCGATAGGAAAGTAACTGTTGACGAGATGTCAGGTCAGGACCAAAGATTAAATTTTACTGTGAATGTTGACTCTCCAACATTTAAAACAGACATATTTATTTATGATATCAAATATTTATATCTGTTGAAATCAATTTTATAAGCACTAAATCAGGAACCTGACACTTCATGTGCTATAACTTATTAAAATAGTAGAATAAAAGCTTACAGATCAAATGCTATCCTATCTTTTTCCAAGTTCATTAGTACGAAGTGAAAATAAAATGTTCTAAATGAAGTCCATTCTTTACCTTTTAGGCAACGGTATCTCCTTAAATATAAGAACAAAGAAATCTTTGTTTTCTTCAAATAATACAAGGAAAGAAGGAAGAAAATACGAAGAGGGGATAAATAGAGAAGAAAAGTTAAAAGAAAAAGAACGAGCAGACAGGAAAGCAAAGTGAGGGGAGAGAGAGAGAGAGAGAGAGAGAGAGAAGAAATAGAAAAGAGCAGAAACGTAAGGTAAGAAAGAAATAAGAAACGAGAAAAAGAGAAAGGAAAGAAAAGATAAAAGAAAGGAGAGTGGGGGGAGAGAAGAAAGGAAATAAAAGAAAAGACTGTAAATAAAGGCAAAAGAAAAGAGTGAAGAAAAAAAGGACATGAAAGCGGTAACAATCCTTCTTCAAATCTGACAGCGTTGATAAATTCAAGAGATAAAAATTCTGTACCACACATATTTACTTTGTATCGGGATTTTTTTTTCTTTATTCTTTTTACTTAGCTTCATCGACGAACTTAAATTATTATTTTTTTCATCACGGCCATTTTCAGAATAGACAATTAAATCCGTTGAACATCTACTTATGTACGCATTTTTTCTCATAATCAAACAAATCGTTTTTTTCTTTCATTTCCTTTAGCTTTTGATACCCAGACACACAAATTTCCAGCATCCATTCCTCGATAGAATGAGACGAAAGGCTTTGGCAATCCCTTTCCAATAATCATTCGATACGTAGCCACCATTTTAAACTCAAATCCCTGAGCGCCTTTTTCCATGGAGACAGAAGGAATAGCAAAATCGGGAAGTAAAAACAGCAAGAGAGCAAAAGAAAGAGAGAAAGAGTGTGTGAGTGTGCAAAACGAGAGAGGGTGAGAGACAGGGTCGTGTCATATCTTAATGGGCAGCCACATTATAAAGGAATCTGTGGGGACATCTCTCCATGTGAGCATGCGTGATAGAAAACGCTCTGCGATGGCGTTCTTCTTTTCGGATACAGAATTAAAATCGTTACAATATCTCTTGTCATGAAATCCGAAACGGGAACCGAGGCCTTTTATGCAACTATCACAGGCAATTCTATTATCCTCTAGTTTTCCCCTCTGTTGTTTTATGCCTTCAAGTTCGTTACTCAAAGTCTCTTCCAACTCGCAGCCACGCCGGCCCCAGCCGAAGAAAATTGCTAGTCACATGCATCAAACCATTTCATTGCACCGGGACTTTTCCTCACAAGGGAGCCGTTAGTGAAACGTCACCGGATACCGGTGAATGATCCTTACCTATTATTTCACAGGTCGAACGGGGAAGAAATCCCTTGCCATCTGAAGTCTGTGTTTAATGCGAATAATCTAGAACTTTGCCCCGTTTATTTGAAAGAATAAACACTGGGATTGAATAGATAAACGCCAAGCTATGCCTGGTTCTTCTGATAATGTAGACAGCGACTTACCATTCGTAGAGATATTTTTACTCAGTTTTTCATCTCGCCATAGAGCTCGTCTCGCAAATCATTACTACAGTAATGAGTCGGATCCTCACTAAGTGTTCAATACTTGTGATCTTGTGCTATACAAAGCTAATTTGAGTAAACAAGACATTATAGCGATTAACTAAGCATAGCTTAGATATGGCACAAGGCCGAAAGTGTGAAGCATCCAGTAAGGATCAGTCGTAATTGATCTAGTGTCTCGCTTGCTAACCATTAAACCAAGTCGAGGTCCCCTGACATCATAGTTAACAAAATGACTTACTGAACCATTCGCTGGTATTCTGATTTTGCTCCTCCCGTAGTACCAAATTTTTGTGACCTTGTGCCAGACTAAGTTAAGCTCACCTTCGTGCAATTGGTAGAAACCTACTCAGGATGACAATGTTCTTTCAAGACTTTAACGATCATGGCTCTCCACAACTTTCTTTTCTGTGAATCTCTATGACTGTTCTTGGGAACGTTAGTGGTTTTCCATTGCCTTCTAGCCGTATTTTTTTCAGTTTTCCTTCTCCAAGACTGGTTGATACCAGAGCACATATAGTCCGCTTTATTATTTTACTGATAGCTATGGAAAAGGAAGACGAATTTATGCCTTTCTAAAAGACATTATCACGAAGCGAAAGAAACAGCCTCAGCTGGAATCTGAACTCGGCCTACTGATTCCATTTTCTGTACCGGTAACTGTCTGGCCACCCGCACCATTATCTAGTAATGCTATAACTCATTCGATTCTTACTGGGTGTGAGATTGTGCTGTATGTAGCTAAATTCATCCAATAATATTTGCTATCTCACAATGAGTTAGGGGTGTAATGGTTAGCAAGCTTGTATCGCTAGATCAATTACGACTGAATAGTGAGTTCAGTCCTTACTGGGTGCTCCACACTATTGCCCTTGTGCACATTTAAGCTACGTTTCGAAAGTCATTAGGTTTCTTCGGCGTAGTATAATAACTAGTAAGCTTGCCTCGTTAGATCAATCTCGACTGAGTAATGAATTCGATCCTTACTGGATGCTCCACACTTTCGGCCTTGTGTCACATCTAAGCTATGGTTAGTAAATCGCTATCTCACATTGAGGTAGGGGGATAAAAGTTGGATATCATCAAGTTTCCGAGTAAAAGGTGACTGACTGTTACACTGAAAACTCTAGCTTTGTTCTGGGTTCGAACACCGGCCAATGAAACAAACGTATAATACGCCACTATCTCGCTGAACAGGTCGGCATACAAGCTGATATAGGTTTTTTAATGTCTTATATTGACTATACCTTGGGGTACCCGATGTGGTGCAATGGCAGTAAGCCAATCTCGCTGCATCGATTACAACTCAGTAGTGAGTTCGTTCTTGTGCTTGTACCGTTGTGCCACATCGAAATTAGACTTAGTAAATCGCTAATGATTTTAACTTACGATAATTAACATATAAATTCCCGAAATGCAGATTCTGGGATAAATATCCAGAAACAATTGACCATCTTGCATTAGTTTGCACAGTGTTATCACCCACTGAATATAAAACTCGGTATGATAGAGAAGGCCAGTATCTGCAGTGGAAAATATGCAACTTTTACGGGAAGAAAACTACAAGATTTTATTTATATTTAAAAAACGTTCGTTTGTTGTTTGCTATAAAGCTGTGTTTTTTTTTTTTTTTGTTTTGTTTTTTGGGGTTTTTTTTCAATAAAGATAAACAGGCAATGCTTATTGATTTTGCCTTGTTTCTGTTCTTTTAACTGCTGATTTTGGAAGCCACCCATTCGGGCACTTGAACGACTTTTATGCATACTTGTGTTCATTCTGTAGAAAAACATTTCCATTTTTCAAACTTTGCTAAGATGACACTTTCACTGTTGGCTACATTCACATTCACGCCTCCGGGAAAGGCATGACTCCATCTCTTCTTACACCAGCTATGAGTTAAATAGTAGAGCAGACTGGGCCTTCAGTCTTCATTGATAACTAGTCTAGGAGAAGGAAAACTCTGAATTCCCAAACCTGAGTAAACTGAACATTAGTGTGTGGACGCGTGGTCGTCTACGGGTATGAAAACCCTAACATGACCAACCCTTCCTCAGTTGGGCGTGAACAAATCACCCACCTTGTTTGAACAATTCGAATGCAGAAGCCACCAGAGGCTTAATATAACATAAGGCACCAGGCGGATAGCATGCTCATATGAAAATTGCACGTCTATACCGACATATACATTGTTACATACATAGAAACTACGAGATACTGAAAGTTCACGGACCTATCTACTACTTAAAATCTGACTAATTGATGAAACATTTTTTTTTTTTTTGGTAGGGAGCTTCTTAGATGGGCTGCGAAATTTTCAGCACATTCACGCACTTGTCCATAAAATGTCCAGTGTTCAGTGCAAACACAAGCTTTAGCAAAAACAGACAGATTGTTTGACATTAATCTTCTTTTGATAGGCGTGTTGAAAAAGTGAATTTCAGCCAACACTTTGACAATTGGGCGTTTCCATCTGGCTGTTAATGAGCAGAGGCACAGACGATGGGTCGATTGATGCTTGAGGATCATTTGTGTAATCGGAAACTTTAGACCAACTGTTTGTCAAAACATTTGCGGAAGAAAGAGAAAAAGCGATGAGGAACGGGACAAAGAATGCGAAAAAGGGTGAAAAAAGGGCAGGAAGAATGTGAAAGAAAGAAAGAAAGAAAGAAAGAAAGAAAGAAAGAAAGAAAGAAAGAAAGGCAGCTAGAGAAAGCAGAAAACCAGAAAGGAACAGAAAGAAAGAAAGAAAGAAAGAAAGAAAGAAAGAAAGAAGACCTGGAAACTCAAAGAAATAAGAACAAAGTTGGATAAAGAGAGTGGTTTTAATTGCAACGCCAATCACCATCCCGAATCTTGTTTTTTACTGCACTTTCTCCGCACTAAAGACTTCTCGTTCTCTTTACTCCCAGTAAGCTGTGGCATTATCGCCTTGCTTTGGTCTATTTTGTTTAAGTAAGTATGGGCTCTAATTTGGGACCAGAGAAAATCTCTTTATATCCGGGTTTCTCTTATATCAGGTTCTCTTATATCCGGGTTACATATATATATATATATATATATATATATATATATATATATATATATATATATATATATATGTATAAATATATATATGTGTGTGTGTGTGTGTGTGGAATCCGGAGAAAGAAGCAAATAGGGAAAAAAAGGAAAGGAACAGGGAATGGGTGTGAAGTAAAGAAAGGTAAGATCTGGAGAAAGACGGAAAAAATTGGGAAAAGGAGGAGAGGAGAGAGAGAGAGAGAGAGTAGAGAGAAATCTGGAGAAACCAGAAAGAACGGAACAGAGAGTGAGTAAAAAGGAAAGGAGAGAGACAAAACGAAAGATAGATCTGGAGAAAGAAAGAAAAAAGAGTTGGAGAAAGAGGGAAGAAGACGAGAGAGAGAGAGAGAGAGAGAGAGAGAGAGAGAGAGAGAGAGAGAGAGAAAATTCCAGTTGTAGTTAAAGCTCTCGGATTGGCTGGAAAAGGTTCCGACAGACTCACTGAAGGGGTTCTTGGTAGTCTACGCCTTAAAGAAATACAAAAAAAAGTACAGATCCCACATTGTGTGTGAAAAATGTGGGCGATCTTAGTTTTTTTTTGTTTTTTGTTTTTTTTTCCCCAAAAATGATCCACGGAAAATGTCATGAGGACATTTCCGACCTTAAGTCTCTGGTTGGGACCCAGAATGAAATGTGTATACAACAGAAATCAAAGGAAATAAAATAATAATAATAATAATGGCATATGGGAACATCAACAATCCCTGTTGTAGTTGGAGCCCTAGGACTGGTTGGAAAAGATTGCAGTAGACTAATTGAAGGGATTCCTGGAAGTCCATGCCTCAAGGAGATACAAAAAATTGTTCTGACAAGTACAGCCCACACCTTACAAAGGGCTTTATCTATGTAATTTTTTTTTTTTTTTTTTTTTTTTTTTTTTATGTCAGTGGAAAGTGTCATGACGCCATTTGTAACCTTAGGTCCTAGGGGGACCCGGAAAGAAATGTATAAACGCCAGAAATCAAGAAAATAATAATAATAATAATAACAATAATAATAATAATAATAATAATAATAATAATAAACAAAAAAGGTAAATAAGAAGATGTTTTTAATTCATATATCCCTGCTGTTTTGCAATTGTTAAAAATGTTTTATATAAATATTATTTTAATATAAAAAAAGGAAAACTTAAAGATATATATATTTTTTATTTTAACTTGAAATTATTTGAAATTTGGTAAATAAGATACTTTATCACGAACATTTTTGGTGGTTTGGGGGTTCGCTAATTTTATTTTATTCATTTATTTACTTATTTTGCATCCATTGAAGGATCAGTTTACAAATAATTTTTACATAGCAAACTGATTTTTTTTTTTAAACTAAAAGTCTTTACTCTTGAACCGGAGTACTTATTAGATAATAATAAGAAAAAAAAATTGAAAACTTAGAATACAAAATCAACAAAGGACGGCAAAGCGTAAAAGGAAAATAAAAGTTAGGGAACATAAATTAAAACTGAAATTTAAACTGAGACAAAGTTGATGATTAATATGAAAAAGTATGAATATTGCATTTCTATGTTTTCCTGTCGTATCGGTGGGGCTAATAATATCCGAAGTCATACCCCACAGTGGTGTAATACCACCCAGCAAAAAGGGACCACCAACAGAAGGAAATACTATAGGATTTATATGAGCACGACCAATGTTTGCCTACAGAGTCAAATATAAGCACGACCAAAATTTGATTATAGGCTCAAGTATACAGGCAACCAGTATTTTCCTATGGTCTCAAGTATAAACACAACCACTGTTTACCTATAGCGCCAAATATATGCACTACCGATGTTTGCTTATAGATTACCATAAAAAGCAGATTTCAGTATCGAATGACTCAGGAGTGGATGACATGTCTTAAAATCCGGCAAGGCAACACAACCCTGTACACATCAGAAGTTAAAGATATTACATTTCGATGATAAATTTAGTTATAAGCATATTTTAATCAGTTGGAATTAAAAATGAGGCATTAATGTTTGACCGACCCTCGCAAGATATTTAAAAAAAAAAAATTATTAATACTTCCTTGTGTTCTTTTCCACATTGTCATCCATCACCTCCTCTACTTCTCTTCCTCTGTGAACACTTCCAAAAATTTATGCTCGATATCAAAAACGAAGAATTGCGACAATGCCATGCTCTGGAATTCGTGTGCTTAAGGTCGTGATGTTTGTACAAGTGAAGACGAAAGCATTGGTGTGTGTATCGAATTCTGATTTTGCCAATCGATGAAGGAAAGACAATTGTAAACGATGTCACAGATGATCGACAAAGCAGATATTTAAACAAGACTGAGAAGAATCAGACCTGAAGCTGATGCCAGTCACGAAACTATAATTAACTGACTCCCCCCTCCTGTCACTACACACACAAACAGATACACAAACACTTCCTACGAAAGATAAGATACATACCGCTTAAAGAGGCAGAGCTTACAAGGTAGCAGGATGGTTTGAATTCAGTTTTCCTTCTAGAAGACTGGTTGCCAACCAAGGCTATGAGGTACAATCAGCCCAGCTATTTACCCGTAGCCTGGGGGAAAGATCTGGATTTATACCTTCCCCAAGGATATTAGCGCGTGCTTCCAATACTGACTATAATAACTGGAGCAACAGTCAAAAATCTAATATTTTCTTCATTAAACGCTCTAAACTGGCGACCATGTGCCGAACTAAGATGGGCTTTGTAAATAATTAGAAAAGATTTGGAACGCTATAATGCATAAGAAAATCAATATCTTTGAGCCCTGCGTTCCTGAACAATTTTAACCCTTCTGCCTGAGCTCCTGAGTCAAAATTCGCAAATAAGAGACATGAAAAAATGTCTGCGCTCTGAATTTAAGGAATTGACTAACCATCCGGTCTCCAAGCTTCCCAAATCTGGCTAGAGCTTTGAGCATGGAATGAGGCACATGATCTTTCTCTGATGAGTTCTGAATTTTCTTTCTTTCTTCTGTTGATCCTTATCATAGTCCTTTTTTCTTACACTTTTTTCTTTTACTGCAATTTTCTTTCTTCTCGTTATATACTCCTATTTATTAGCCTCATATTCGTAGTTTTTTTCTTTTCTTTCTTTCTTTTTGTTATGTCTCCCGTGCATTGAAGGAAGATACCACAATCAAGAATCGCTTGAATTCGACATAGTCTTGCTGAAATAGGTAGTAAGCAGATAAACTACATCTCCAACTCTCTACTTGTTTACTCCTTCCCTTTCTACTAAAATGACTGCGTTCTGAATTTGAGGAATTGACTCACCATCTGGTCTCCAGGATTCCAAAATCTGGCAGAGCTTTGAGCATTGAATGAGGTTCAAGATCTAGGATAGTGACACAGGTCTGGAAATGTGTTATGTCTTCGATTTTGATTGGCAATAACAGAAGAGGAAAAGAGGAAATATCTGTCTATATTTCTGAGATGAGGTATTATGTACACTATTTACATTATTCGGACTATTGTCCTCATCTTTGTCGCCATTTTTATCACAACGTTTTGACCGTTGTACGCTCCGGCCTTCTTCAGGTGGTTGGAATGTCGAACTAAACCCTTTATTTCGCTCACTGGGGTAGACTGTTCTCGTTCTACGTTCCATGTCTAATGGATGTCAGTTCTCCTGTTAATTCCACCGCCTTAACTAGGTATTGAACTCACACCTTTGGGTCCTGTTACTAGATCTAACATAATAATAGCAACAAAAAATTGCAATATGAGCTCTGGTAAAAAACATGCAATGGTAACAGCAAAAATTGCAATATGAGCACTGGTAAAAAATGGTGCTGAAGACATTAGATTTATAATGCCCAGAAATTCATACACAGATGTCTTCAAGGGCACATGGCTCAGTGGATAAAGTCGTTAGTTAGATCCAGTATCAGGTCCCAAAATGTGCGAGTTCAAGACCTGGTTAAGTCGGTGGAGAACTTTGAGTGGGGAATCAACATCCATTAGATATGACACTAGAACAGTCTACCCCAGTAAACGAAATAAAGGGTTTATTGACCGGGCAGCCAGTAGTGCTTTCGTCTGAAAGTTATAAAAACTTTCTCTTCAAATAATTTTTTTCAGGGAAAATAGGTTTCTCAAGTTTAGTAGCCATTATCACTCTTTCCAATATTGATTTAAGTTTCCTTCCTAACCTTTTGTTTAAAATAGTGTGGAATGTTAACATATTAATTAAGTCCTAATTTTCTCTTCAAGTTACGTGTGCTATATATTTAAGTTGTGCTGCTGTTAGTCATCAAGTAATGTGGCTTCTGTTATCTGGCACAGATTTTTTTGTGAATCTGTAGCGCCAGTTCACAATGTTCAAAGCAGAATACAGTAATAGCGATGTCGAGAGAAAAAAAACACTCTTTTTAACATACTGTCTTTTTGCCTGTTCATATGTTAAACTTTGACAATGATTTTCTGTATGTGCAACAGTTTTCACAGAGTGCACTGATACTACACATTGATCCTAGGCACTAGTGCTGGGGAATAACAAACTGTTCCAAGGCAAAGTGCAAAGATGCTACACCCAGATCCAACAACAACGTAGACTGGTTAATTTGTTTTTGCCTTTTTTACGGCTTTTTCTGGTTGCTTAAAGCCAGGAAATATTTTTAGATTTTAAGAATTTTTTTTTAGATAATAATGTTTTACTAAGTAACCCATAGCTTGGAGGGGAAAAGGCTGATTCATATCTTTCTAAAGGGTATTTTTAAGTGAATATAACGAACCCGATTCAGTCCCGAGCTGTTATCCATTAACTTTCCGTACATTCAAGCTTACAGTAACTTGCATTCCCAATTGGTCACCCATCTAGCTACTGGCCAGGCTCCACGTTGCTTAATTTGGTGATCGGATGGGAACCGGTGTTTCAACCTGATATGGCCGTAAGCCTCAAAACAGATTCAAGGCAGAGTACAGATGGTATTTATCAATCCACCCACGGGGATCGAATGTGGCACAAGGCCTTTTTAATGTGAAGGCAGAGTGCAGATTCAACGCCGATCCTAGACAGAGGGCCGGATAGCAAAACTTTTATATTAGAGCAAAGATGATCTGATTAGAAGTGTCAACGCACACAAATAATTCAGTCATTTTTTATGCACAGCATATTAGTATAGGTAATATAAATAACAGATTTATTGTTCTTACTATTCATAATAGTGTTACCATAATTCAAAATCAAATTATCTTATAAAATTGTCATGTTATTTCTCAAACCAAAAGAGATAATTTGTCAGAGTCCATCACCTCTAAAAAGTAATAAACTTCAGGTGGGATGCAGAACTCCAGAAGCTTTGGGTAAATATATGACCAAACTTATATGAAAATTTAAATTCAGGACTTTCCTAAATAGTTAGTGTAAAATTAGTAGAAAATTGCTTCCGCTAGAAATTGAACTTTGTTCACTGAATCCGTTCTAGTAATTTTAGCACTTCCATCGCCATTATTATCATTGGTCCTACATATTGTCATTTCTTCGCTGTCAACTTTTTTTTTTTTTTTCGGTTTCTTTCCCCGCCAATCCCTGGCTGTAAGAATTTTGCCACTAAGCACAATCTGACTTGCTGGCATCATCACAGGCTAGCAACACGTGGTCGACACCAAATGCGGACACCGCAGACGAGCGATTTTTCCCGCGCTCTCGGACATAAAACAAAACTTCATCTTAATTCGATCGAACAGGCCGAACATTTTGCTGTCATTTCTTGTTTGTTTCGCTTTCGTACGCGGCACGATCTCACTTCCCGCCAATACCACGCCGACCCCAGAACTGCTACTCAAAATCAAGCTTTTGTTCCACCGCTTTTTTTTGTCGCCTACTTTCTGTTGTGTATATATTCAGATGAGTTTTTTTTATGCCTAATACTTATGAGCAAGGGTGATGGGAAAACGAAGAATGCATTATATATATATATATATATATATATATATATATATATATATATATATATATATATATATATATATATATAATAAGAAATAAATTATGACATTCTACAATTACACAGACGTAGAAGCGTATGGATACACACGTGCACGCACACACACGCAAAAGATTTTTTTTTATATTTTAATTTAATATAAAAATAACGAGAATGAGAAAAAGGGCTGTTTATTGCTGAAATCTCCTGACGAGTGGACTGAACGATTACAAAAATTTCGTCTACGAATCTCTGGTGGCGAGGTACTGAATATAAAATCAATTAGTTAAGTGACAAATTTTATATAATTTATATTCGTATATATATATGTGTGTGTGTGTGTGTTTGTGTGTGTGAGAGAGTGGGAGTAACTAGGCAGAAATCCTTCTTTCATGCACATTTAATTAAATACAACAAAGTGTTTTGATTTAGTTTTTTTTATACAATTTCTCATGTGATCTAATAATTTTTTTCTTTTCAGAAGATAAATTATATAAAAACTGCCATAAAAAACATTCGGACAGTTTTTATATAATTCATCTGAAAAGAAATAATTATTACATCAAATGAGAAAACTAAATCAAAGCACCATGTCTCTTGTATTCAATGAAATGTGCATATATATATATATATATATATATATATATATATATATATATAAAAAAGTATTTTTTAGAATTGATTTTTATTAATCCGACATATTTTTTCACTTTTCATTTTGCACATCTATATATTCTATTTTCAATTTTGCTTATAGTATTCAGGGACAGGAATATGTGAAGGGCCATCATCGCCTACGTCCTGAAGGAACACGATATATAAAAATATATATATATATATATATATATATATATATATATATATATATATATATATATATATATATATATATATATATATATATATCAGCAATCAATTTCACATTTAATGTTCATATATGCACACACAGCATAAATTGCTGATACCCACTAAAGATTGGGCGACAGGTCCTCCTACGAAAATCTGGAGTCGGAATATTGATGGTAACATTAATCAGCTAAGTTACAAATTTTTACTCATATTAATCACACACACACACACACACACACACATATATATATATATATATATATATATATATATATATATATATATATATATATATATATATATATATATTATATTATTTCAATTTCGCTTATAGTGTTCATTCTGTTAACTGAATGAGTATAATCGTCTAAATTGTAGGCGATACACCCATGGGCGAAATTAGAGAGATCCTCGTTGTCGTGCACAGTCCTTGTCTTATGTTTATTTGAACCATTGTACTAAGCTTGAACTGTCTATTATTTTCTGTTGCGGCCCGAAGTTGCGGGGGCGAGTTCCTTTTTTCGAGACGACATACGAAGCGGATATGTTTTTGAAGTTACCTTATTTTAACCTTTCGCTTAAAGAGGCAAAGCTTACAAGTTAGCAGGGTGGCTTGAATTCAGTTTTCCTTCTAGAAGACTAGTTGCCAACCAAGGCTATGAGGTACAATCAGCCCGGCTATTTGCCCGTAGCTTGGGGAAAAGATCTGGATTTATACCTTCCCCAAGGATATTAGCGCGTGCCTTCAATACTGACTATAATAACTGGAGCAACAGTCAAAAAACTAATGTTTTCTTCATTAAAAGCCCTTAACTGGCGACCATGGGCCGTACTAAGATGGGCTTTGTAAATAATTAGAAAAGATTTGGAACGCTATAATGCATAAGAAAATCAATAGCTTTGAGCCCTGCGTTCCTGAACATTTTTAACCCTTCTGCCTGAGCTCCTGAGTCAAAATTCGAAAATAATTGCAATGTTTCACGGTAAATATAAAAATAGTTACAAGTGTTTACCCACCGTTTAACCAGTGGCCGAGCATTGTCATTTCTCTTGACCACTGTTCAACCGGTGGCTAAGCATTACGTCATTTTTCTCTGCCACCGGTAAAATGATGGTCAGGCCTGAAAGGGTTAAGCAAGTTTTGTTGCGTGGATAAAAAAAACTTCAGTTTCCTAAATGATTTGTTTTCATTTTTTTTTTTTAATTTAATCTTTTTTTAATTTTTGTTTTCTTTTATAATTAATTAAATCCTTTAATTTACTGTACATGTAAAAATTAGCTTTGCTCGAAACAATACCAGAGGCAAATGATAAAAAGACAGAAAATGTGGGGACTGACTTGACAATCAGTCAGTCAGTTATGTACCAGGCGTGATACACTCTTAGGCGATCCTGTATCTTTCTGACGAGGCAGAATTTTTTTCATACTAGGTTGCCATTTCTTTCTGCGGTAGACCAGTTGTCATCCAAGTCTATAGAACCCGGTCTGTCCTGCTATCTACCCATAGAAGAGGATTCATACCTTTCCCAAAGGTATTAGCATGTAAGTGAATGCAATGGATTCGACTGGAATTCAAACTCGGCTCTCCGATTCCACAACCCATTACTCCACCGTGCCTCCTAGTTTTCCAAATTATGACTTTTAATTGGACTTGAACACCAAAGAAACAAACGCATAACCCAAATATCTTGCTTTTCATGTTTTAATGGCTAACAAGCTATTATCTATGCTTACATTTATCTGACACAAAGCAAAAAAAAAGGACTCTTAATATGTACCAACCTCAGGATACCTACAGAGAACCAACCTTACGACGACTTGGCTTAATCTGAGACAATAACACATTAGTAGAACACCTGGTGAGTATAGAATCTATGACATAAGCAATTTGGTCTACAAGATAATGCGCTACAGCAGGCGCTAATTTCATGGCTCATCATATATTCCGTTATAAGAGATATTTTTCAATAAATCAGATGCACCATTTAAATCTCGTGTTCAAACAGAAACTCCCATTATCCATGCAATTTGGTTGTTAGTCTGAAATTAAAGGCGACAAAGTGAACAAGTGAAACCGAACATTAATGATTTGTTCGGAGATAAATGATATATTGATAACCGACATTTTCGTGATTACATTCGTATAAGCGGTGTGAAAATGCCTCTTGTGCCTTTCAGCACATTTCCCGCGCGTTACGGCGATACGACAGAAAATTATGACACATTTTCCAATTTCAAGTTCAAAATGGAAGTGAAAAATTGTTTTAAAAAATGATCGGGCTATTTATTGTGAACCAATGTAAACTGAATGGTTACGTTTCATTTTCATGATCATTTCATGTTTCTTCAAAATAGACCGGCTGTATATTTTGAAGAAATGACCAGGAAGTTACAAACGAGGAAGTACGGAAGAGATTTTAAGGAACTTGATCGTTTTCTTCGTCAATAAGTTTTGTTACCTAATGCAGATCTCGGGGCAGTTAAATATTAGCAAAAATTGGAGAAAAAAGTCAGATTAAAATGCAAAGAGAGAGAATAAAAATATAACTTATTTTACTATATATTGTGTAGACATTCATCGAAATCACTGCGTGACAGACAACCACTTCCCCATTCCCCAATATTGTTCTTCATATATAAATATATATATATCGTTATCTCATACGGTTGACATGGAAAAATACCAAACTATTAAAGAATATAGAAAACTCTGGATATCGGCATGGACAAATTCTGTCTAAAAATTATTTTATTTAATTCTTCAATTTTTCCAAATATGTTGAACATATGATTAGTAAGTAAAATAATATTATTATAAGACAAATTTTAGTAGATGTCACCAAAATTCTCCATAGGAAACAGTATATTGAAGTGTGTTAAAAAAAAACCCAAAGAAAACATATTAATTTTTCCCGGAGTGACTTGAAATTGGTTCCATCACACGTAAGAATGGCGGAATTATAAAACAGTTGCGTAAAAATACACGCATACTTGAAAACGAATGTAGCAACATTCGAAAGTACTCGGGAAGAAAATAAAATAAAAATAAATATAAAAGCAAATTTGTCGATAACACAAAAAACTAATTCAGAAATTTGAAAAGTTAAATAAAAAAAATTGATAGACAGAATATGTCCATATTTTTTAACTAAACGTTTGGAAGAACTGTCGAAATACACCTATATATATATATATATATATATATATATATATATATATATATATATATATATGAAAGAGGACACACATGTCAACACCTAACGGCGACAGTTTATTTCATGCATGAACGCAATATTCAGGCATATTTTTTTGTAATATTTTGTTCTCACTTATCAGACGCACCCGTTAATATATATGTATATATATATATATATATATATATATATATATATATAGCCACTCGTATTCGAGGATACTCGTATACTAAGGCGGCTATCAACCCCTATTGCAGACGCCGGCACAGGCACAATTGTGTTTGTTCAACACCAACAGAGCCCACCTTAGTTTCAGTTACTTGGACTGCGCGTTATCTAGCGTGATCAATAATCTGAACAAGGCCACCACGCTCAAACCCTCGAAAATCATGTTATAAAATCACTACAAAAATAACCATTTTGTTTTAACACCTCTGGTGTCCTATAATGTGATGGTGTTGAATGTAGAATAAAGAATAAACTCTTTATTCTACATTCAACAACGCCACTCGATAAGACACCAGAAGTGCTGAAACAAAATGATTATTTTTGTAGTGATTTTATAACATGATTATGTTATAATTTTCGAATAAATTACATTTGCTCTACT